CATGCATAAGGTCAGCTCAAAGAATTTGGAAATTTAGTTGTCAGAAAGGGAATCGAGACTTAGTACTATGAAAAAAAGCTGGGTCTATGTCTTAAAAGTGAACAAGACCAAAAATTGATCAATTTATTTTCTTGGTTATTTCTGTTTCAAAAGCAGGGTTTTCTATCAGAATGCATGTTTTAACATGGTTTCACTCTTGATATTAGCTTAACCAAAGATTAAATAATTCTCATTTAATTCATTTAATAGTTACTCATTCTTTCAATATCAACTACAATGTGCCATTTCAAAGTTGATTTCCCATATGTTAACCTAATGTGTAAGGGAATACACCTTTTCTCTCTCTTAATACTTTGGCTGAGCTTTATACTCATAGATGAGTGAAAGAATATTCTGACTATCTTCTACCATACAAACCTTTTTTTAACACATTTCATGTTTTAAGAAAAGTGGAAATTCTATAGATAAGTAACCATCTTGCTTCTATGAAGACATCTTATTTGTTCAGAATAGAACTTATGTATTATTACAATTTTTCAAGGTAGAATTTTCAGGAAACTCAAATTTATCTATTTCATAGAAATATAGTAAGCAAATGTGACTTGTATCATTAATGAAGGATGAGCAGAATTATAAAGCTGGTCCAAAAGTGGATAGGAAAGACATATAGAGAGTGAATGTAAGACAAAGTACTGAGATAAAATTAAGTGTTTAAAATTAGTTTGAATGGAGCGGCGAGTGTGGCTCAAAGGAGTAGGGTGTGGTCCCATATACAGGAGGTGGCTGGGTCAAACCCAGTCCCGGCCAAAAACTGGGAAAAAAAATTAAATAAAATAAATAAAATAAAATTAGTTTGGGTTATCTTTTCTACTAGACAAAAATCATTTGTATTGCTCCTGAACAAAATAATTCACTCGTTTTTTGAATAATTTAACATCTATTTCAAAGTCTTAGCCTAATCAAAAATCTTAAGTAAAAAAATATGCTTCCTTTCAGACAATTGTATAATCTTTGAGAGGGACTATTAGACAATGCTTCATTATGTCTTTGAAAGAACATGCAGCCACTTGTTTGCCTTATTTTCAAGTTTGAGATAATTTTTTCTGAACAAAACCTCTATCCCATAGTAAAAAATAGTAAGTCCTTAGGCTAATACTCTGTGTCAGCACTTTGCATGTATTATTTCATTTAGTTCTCAAAATGAAAATATCAGTGAGCTTTTTATACAATGGATTATTTCTTTGGGGAAAGTTCTTATTGGAAAAACTTGGATGAGAGTTTGAATATTTTGAAGGTTATTGCTATGCATAGCCAAACTTATTTCTAAAAATAGCATGCCAATTTATACTACTCACTCAGGGTAAGATACTTGACTACCATAAAGACACAGATGAACATCAACATTTTAAACATTACCCAATTTGGTAGATACAAAATGAAATCTTTTTTCAATTTAGTTCTACAATATCTGGTTACTAGTGAAGGTGGCCTTCTAAAAAACAGAGCTATAGGTAGATGTGGTGATACCTGCCTGTACTCCTAGCTACTGGGAGGCTGAAAGGAAAGGACTACTTGAGGTCTTCCAGAATTCCAACCTATAATCCACAATGTTTGCCCATGTACATAGCTACTGCACTCAAGGCTGGGCAACATAGCAAGACCCTGTCTCTAAACAAGTGAATAAAGAAATTAAAATTTTTTAAAATTGCATGGTTTTGTTATTTTAAGATCATTATTTGCTTGCTTTTCTATTTAGAAATTAGTGTCTGTTTCTTTTATTATTTATTTCAGCTTCTGATGTCTGAGAAACATTAACCCTTTGCTTCCCCCCCAGCTTTATTTAGGTATAACTGACAAAAATTGTATATATTTAATGCGCCCAACCCCCCTTGTACTTAACTCTTATACAACCAATAGCTCCTTGTGAAAATTATGAATGGAATATTTTATGTGAGCATTAATAACAGCCCACATAAATAAGATTAATTTATGTAACTTGAAACTCAACATAAAATTTTTGCAAGTAAATACATAAGATTGCTTCCTCTTTTTCTATTGACATTATTTTGTTGAAGAATGTAATATAATACATATATAAGGTGTTAAAGGTGGAAACTGAAGCTACAGGAAATACAAGGACATTTGTAAATGGAAAATTTTTGCAAAGTGATTACCATATTTATATTAATAGGCAAATGTATAGCTGTAGGAGATTGTATTTCAAACAACTTAGAATAACTACATCAACTTCCATAATAGGTTAAATTATAGTTGTTTTTATTTTTACTTTTTTTTTTTTTTTTT